AAAGCAGTTCACTGTGAAAATCTACCAGGATTACAATGTTCAGCAAAATAGTATACTTTTGTCCTTGAGTAACAGGTGGCTCTAACTAGTTGGAATTTTGCTAATGAGTAAAGATAGCCATATACGAACGGTAGAAGTTCAATTCGTTCTTTTAGATAAGATTAAAAGTAAACCGTCTGAAAAACACTCTTGTTATTCAAGAAATTGGCCAAGAGAATCTGCGCATGCTCCAGGAAAAAAAAAAACAAAAAAAACCCCAACAAAAACCAACAACAAACCAACAAAGTGAGAAAGACTACAAGCCTTTCTCCCAAAGACCCCTGAAGACACCCACCAGGAGGCAATGCGCAAGTGCAAAGATGACATAAACTGCTGACACCAGCCTTTCTAACTAACCCAGCCCTACTCATGCATATGTATGTTTGTGTTACGTAATCCAATGAATATGTATATCCACACTCTAAGTTTCTGGTAAAATGTGCAGTGGGTGTGCAAGCTTTGTGGAGAAATCCTCTTGCCCTCTGGCCGGAGTAAACATACCTGCTTTATAACTCTATTTGAGTTGTAGAGTAGGGTGTTTGTTGTTGTTGTTGTTGTTGTTTGGTTTGTTTTGTGTTTTGTTTGTTTGTTTGTTTGTTTGTTTTCTGCAAATCACATTTACCTCAGTCCTTGGTAGCCAGAAAGAGAAGAAAGAAAAGATCTTGAACCTGCTGATTTTGCCTGTATATGTGAGGGATTTTCACAGGCATACTTTTCCACTGTGCTTTGATTTCCCACAGCAAGGCAGGAATGTTCGATAGGATGCCTCTGAGTCTCTCATAGGCCTATGTTACCTAAACACAGACACTCTAGTCATCAAACATACAGGGCTAAGCGACAATTGGTGTATATACACGTTTTTTGGCACCCCATCTGCAAGTCACTTGAGAGTGTTTACAACCCTCCTTGCCTATCTTTATCTGTGCATGTAAGAAGAAAGAAATTTTTAAGTGAGAGGGGGGAAAATTAGGCTGGAGGCCATGCTTTGTGGAAAATACTGCTTGAAGACTTTAGCAAAATCTGGGAAACTGCCCAAAAAGATTACAAATTGAAGGAGTACAGCAACTACAAAAGCAGTGTTCACCATCATAATAAAATTAAAAATAGTGTTCTAAATTCAGTAGTCAACCCCTGTAATGAAGAACTCAAAGCAATCTGGGGTAAAGTGATGTCACTGACATCAGAGTTATCATATAGAATCTGATCCAGTATAACAGGGACTAAAGTAAGCAGGAAATCAGGTTTTTCAAAAATGTAACATGGTCTTTGACCCTGACACAAGACAGGATAGGATAGTGATACAGCTGGAACATCTCTGTGCTGTCAATCCGTATTGACCACAAGCAATCTAGGTCAAAAGCCATCTTCAATGTCAAATATCCTTCAGACCAGGCATCACTTAGAAACATGCTGAGCCTTTTCTTGTGAATGCTGAGCTCTTATATGTCACTGTCAGAAAGATGGTATGGGGAACTTCAGTGAAATGAGTAAAGTTCAAAGGAGGAAACTGTCCCACTGACTAAACCTGCTGTTCAAAGTCTTGTGGGAAATATCCTTGAAATTACTTCTATTGCTATACAAATTCTTGCTTTATTTAAATCACAAAGGAAAATATTCATCAGTTTTAATTAAGTCAATTATTTCCTTGATCCTTCCTCACAAATAACATAGTTTACTATCTAAGCAGACTGCTCTTGTGCTATTATTCCCCAGATTAGCTAAGGTGGGCAAGGCAAAAAGACAACAAGCAACCTAGCCAGGTGGAGGAAAGGGATAATTGGAATTACTAGACAGTGTGGATGTGATGGCCTGGCACATCAGACCCACAAGATTATAAGGCTTTGGTGGACACTGGCGTACAGTGCACCCTGATGCCATCGAGCTACAGTGGGGTTGAATCCATCTGCATCTCTGTAGTGATAGGGGGATCCCAACAGCTGACCCTATTGGAAGCTGAAGTGAGCCTGACTGGGAAGGACTGTCATCAGCACCCCATTGTGACTGGCCCAGATGCCCTGTCCATCCTGGACATAGACTGTCTCAGGAGAGGGTAATTCAAAGACCCTAAAGGCTACCGGTGGGCTTTTGGTGTAGCTGCCCTGGAGGACATTTAACAGTTGTCCACCTTACCCAGCCCCTCAAAGTATCCCTCAGTGGTGGGGCTGCTTAAGGTTGAGGAGCAGCGAGTGCCGATTGCTACCAGGATGGTGCACCAGTGGCAGAACCGCACCAACCAAGATTCCCTGGTCCCCATCCACCAGCTGATCCATCAATGATAAAGCCAGAAGGTGATCAGCAAAACTCACTCACCCTTAAACAGTCCTAGGTGGCCAGTGAGAAAGCCTAATGGTGAATGGAAGCTAACTGTGGACTACCATGGCCTGAGTGAAGTTATGCCAGTAATGAGTGCCGCAGGGCCAGACATGCTCTAGCTCCAGTATGAACTGGAGTCCAAGGCTGCCCCAGGGGTGGAACCACAGCTCCACCATTTTCCATGGACTTGTCCATACTGCACTGGAGAAAGGTGGGGCTCCAGAACACCTGCAGTATATTGATGACATAATTGTATGGGGGAACACAACCGAGGAAGTCTTTGAGAAAGATAATTGAAATACTCCTGAAGGACGGCTTTGCTATTAAGCAAAAGAAAGTTAAGACGTTGGTCTGGAAGGGATATTCAATTCCTAGGAATAAAATGGCAAGATGGGCATCGCCAAATCCCAGTGGAGGTAATAAACAAGATAACAGCCATGCCCCATCAACCTCTAAAAAGGAGACTCAGTCTTTTCTTGGCGCTGTGGGGTTCTGGAGGATGCACATCCCGAACTACAGCCTGATTGTGAGCCCTCTCTACCACGTAATCCGTAAGAACGATTTTGAATGGGGCCCTGAGCAACAACAATCCTTTGAACAATTAAGCGGGAGATTGCCCAGGCAGTAGACCTCGGGCCAGTCTGGAAAGGGCAGGAGGTTAAGAACATGCTCTACACTGCAGCCATGGAGAATGGCCCTACCTGGAGCCTCTGGCAGAGAGCACCTGGGGAAACCCGAGGCCGACCTCTAGGCTTTTGTAGCTGGGGATACAAATGCTCTGAAGCTAATTAGACACGAACTGGTAAGGAGATACTGGCAGCATACGAAGGAGTTCAGCCTGCGTCAGAAGTGGTCAGCACTGAAAAACAGCTCCTCCTGGCACCCCGACTGCCGGTGCTGGGGTGGATATTCAAAGGAAAAGTCTCCTCCACGCATCAGGCAACCGATGCCATGTGGAGTAAATGGGTTGCGCTGATAAAACAATGGGCTCAAATAGGGAATCCCAGCCGCCCAATGATGTTAGAGGCCAGAGAGAAAAGATTACCGGATGTCATCAGAACAGGAGGTGACACGTGCTAAGGATGCCCCACCATATCACGAGCTGCCAGATGAGGAGAAGCGATATGCCCTGTTCACTGATGGGTCTTGATGCATTGTGGGAAAACTTCAACGATGGAATGCTGACGTATGGAGTCCCACACAATGGGTCACTGAAGCTGCTGAGGGACAGGGTGAATCGAGCCAGGTTACAGAGGTGAAAGCCTTCCAGCTTGCTTTCGATATTGCTGAGCGGGGAAAGTGGCTGAGGCTCTACCTCTACACTGCCTCGTGGGCAGTGGCAAATACCCTGTGGAAATGGCTGCAGAAATGGAAGCAGAACAACTGGCAACGTAAGGGTAAAAGCATCTCGGCTGCTGAAATATGGCAGGACATTGGAGCCGGTGTGGAAAACCTCATTGTGAAGGTGCGCCATGTGGATGCCCATGTACACAAGAGTCGGGCCACTGATGAACCATCAACACAACCAGTAGGCAGACCAAGCTGCTAAGATTAGAGTGTCTCAGGTGGACTTGGACTGGCAGTAAAAGGTGAACTGTTCATAGCTCTGTGGGTCCATGAGACCTCAGTCCACCAAGGTAGAGATGCAACATACAGGTGGGCTCGAGATGGAGGGGTGGACCTCACCATTGACACGATCGCAGAGATCATCCACGGATGTGAGACGTGTGCTGCAATCAAACATGCTGAGTGGGTGAAGCCCCATCAGAATGAAAAGCAATGGCTGAAATATAGATATGGAGAGGCCTGGCAGATAGACTACATCACACTGCCACAGACCCTCCACAGGAAGCGCCATGTGCTCAAAATGGTGGAAGTACCCACTGGATGGCTGGAAACTTACTCAGGGCCCCACGCTACCACCCAGAACACCATCCTGGGCCTTGAGACCCAAGTCCTGTGGCGACACGGCACCCCAGAGAGAATGAGTCACACAACGGGACCCACTTCTGAAACAATCTCATAAATGCCTGGGCAGAAGAACACGTCATGGAGTTGGTCTACCATATCCTCTACCACGCACCAGCCTCTGGGAAGATGAAGCATTACAATGGACTGTTAAAAACCACATTGAAAGCACTGGGAGGTGGGACCTTCAACGACTGGGACATGCATCTAGCAAAGTCCACCTGGCTTGTTAACAGAAGAGGATCTGACCATCGAGCTGGCCCAGCTCAGTCAAAACCTCCACGTGCTGTAGATGGGGATAAAGTCCCTGTGGTGCACATGAGGAATATATTGGGAAAAATGGTCTGGTTTAGTCCTGCACCAGGCAAAGGTAAAGGCAAACCCATCCACGGGATTGCTTTTGCCCAAGCACCTGGGTGTACCTGGTGGGTGATGCAGGACAATGGAGAGGTCCGATGCATACCACAGGGAGACTTGAGACTGGGTGAGAACATGCCGTGAATTATGCTGTGCCTTTGTAAATTATTATTTTGTTATTGTTAACTGCTAAATGGCAGCTGGACATGACGCAGATGGTATAAAATAAAGGGGTGGATTATGTCCCATTTCAACTAGGATCGGTTCAAGTTTTCCCCAGCAGAGAGAGAGGGGGAAGGGATATCCAGCCGGGTTATTCATACCATGCTGACTGTCAGGCCAAGGGGAGGAGCTTTTTACTTTCGCTTTTGGTTTTGGGAGTTGCGACTCATGCAGCGGGCTTGTTCCCTGACCATTTTACGGTATTTCTCTGTATATTTTTTTGTCTTGTTCACTGTTATTGCTGTTTATTTTTGTTATCATTGCCACTGATTTTGTTCAGATTGTTCATCACAGTGTTGTATTGAATTTTGTCTTAACTTCCGGCCCAACCACCTGAGGGTGGGGGAAGGGCAACAGCAACAAGCTCTCTGTTCCCGGCAGGGCTTAAACCAGCACAGTAGGAAAGCTGTGAAGTCATCAGAATGTCCCCTCAGCAACAGAGCTCTTATTAGGGTCTGTGAAGGACAAGCAAAGGGACCCTGTGAAAAGGAAGATGGCTGCAGTTTGGCTGGACATTTTCCAACCAAATGCTTTTGAACCCAGAAATGTCCAAAGTACCAGAAGCAAAAATATGATGTCCAGACATGTAATTTCAGGGAGAGGAATAATTAATCTTGGATGGAAATCTGGAAAAAGCATTTGTATGAGTGCAATATATTCCTTTTTAACCATTATGAAACAAAGAATCTGACATTTGTAACTGAGACTTTTTTTTTTTTTTTTTTTTTTTTTTTTTTTTTTTTTTTTTTTTTTGTCGTGGTGTCTGTATTGCTAGGTGGGAGAGGAGTCTCTGTCATGAAAAGCATTAGTTGCTTATTGTCAGTTAAACACTAAGAACAATTCACAAAAACATAATGAAGCAGAAAGAGAGGGATCTCCCTGAAGGTGTTAAGTCTCAGTTTTTAACATTTTTGTTCCACTTTTCTACAGAAACAAACACAAAAAGAAATAATTTATTCTTCCCCACTCAAACAGGCCACAGATTCAGATCCAGCACACATAACAAAGCCAAATAGTATCTAGGAAGAATAATTACAATGGGTATATATTTTCCAAAGCATTGAAGACAGGACCATGGGAGGAAGTCTATGAAAATATTGGAGATTTCCTGTGGGTCTGCAGCAGGGTCATCCCACCACATGGAGCAAGAAACAAAAGAAAATTATTTTATGACACCAAGTCTTTCTGCCTGTCAGGAAAGACACCACAGAGAAAAAATATTTCTAAATGAAAAATGGAAAAAAAATTGACCCTTCATTATTACTACTGCTACCATCATCATTATAGATCATTAAAATTATCTTTATCTGAAACTAAAATCTTCCTGGACAAGTGTACAAGAAGCTGGGCTTTTTAGATCTGAAACTCTGATTTTCTTTTGTTCCTTCCTGGTGTTGGAAAAACTAAACATCAGACCAGAATTATCAATTCTGAGAAACAGTTTCCACATACATGTAGAGTTTTCAATCTCCTGGCAGTTCCACTTGATGTGAAGATCTGAGTAACGATAACCTTTTTTTTTTTTTTTTTTTTTTTTTTTTTTTTTCCAGCTGTTTGTTTCTGAGGAAAGAGAATTACATCCATTCCGGTATTTTGATAATGGTAAATTCATAATACCACTGATCCTGGCTGGATGAAGACTATTTCCTTCTTTATTACAGTGGCAAATATCTATCCATGTAGCTGTGAAAGAGGCAGTATCCAAAGTGAGAGATACAAAATTTAGATACCAAGTCTGCATCTCTGTAACGTCCAAAGTTGGCAAAGAACAGAGACAATCCTTTTTAATATATGATCAACCTACATAGTTACAATACATCAAACACAGAAAAGGTATGTATTGCAGTAAAGAATAATGGGCTGCCATCACTCAGCTATGGACACAAAACCATCTTTCTTGAATCAGAATTGAATTGTGTATCTTGTCCCCAGCTGCAGCCTAAAACAGATGGATAAGTGAAGAGCAAAGCAACTTTTTCTTTTATTATACAACCTTAACTTCCATGAAAAACACTCTTTAAAAGCTACCTGTACTGAAATATCTGGAATATCATCATATCCTCATCTGTTAAAGTACCCAGGAATAAACATATGTTTCACTACAGCATTTACTCATTTTGTAAGACCACTTACAATTACGACGAATTCCTGAGGCAGTGAGTTCCACAACTGAAGTATGAATTTAAATAGTTCATTAGATACAGGTGGCTTTCATTTAACAGAGGCAGAGAAAAAACTGATAGCTGAAATACAAACAAGAAAGATTTTGGTGGTTTATCCATGACCTTAACAACGCTAAGTAAAAAATATTTTAATTGTAGTTGGTAGAAACTGACTGCATATTTCCATGTTCAATTCAGTTACATTTCTGCTGTGCCTTTTCAATAGTCTTCCAAACCTGTGAAAAGTAATCAGCTGTGCACCAATCACTCAGATTTTGATGAGAAGAAAAACACTTTGTAAAAATTTAGTCAGTCTGAAATCAATTGTATGGGAGGCAAATCAAAGAAGTTCACTTTGAGACTAAATACATTTTTATGTGTCCTAAAAAAAACCCCAAACCATGCATTAATGCATTTTAAGCATGTATTTATATTTCTAAACACGCGTGTTGCAAGGTAATATTCTCTTTTGAGAAACATTAGTACCAGTAATGATGCATCATGGGCTTTTAGTAATCTTTTGTCAGTTTTCTGCCTGTTGAAAATGAAGACAGAAAGAAACTACATTTTTAAATTCCAAAATATATATATTTTTTTAAAATAAAAGTAATTTAAAATTTCACCTAGTTCATATTTCTTCTCTGGTGTGAGGAGTAATCTGTCGAGGGATAAAGCCCGGGTATCAAGAATAACACCAATATGGTTTGCCAGCTTGATCCAATTTTATTTTATAGTACAGAGCATCTTATATACTATTAGGGCATGATCGCATACAGCTAAACAAGCTGTGATTGGTTCTAAGCTACTGTCCACATAATATAACTCATATTTCATTGGTACAACGCAAGGAGCACAAGCAAGAAGTATGAGCCTATGGACCTCCTATACAATGTTTCAACTTCACTCCATATCTCTAGTTAAAGAATTTGCTAAACAATAGCTCTCTATGCAGTGGCAAGCCAGAGAGGAACATTGAACAGTAAGTTCTTTAGACAGAGGCAGATAGCAGAGAATTACTCATGTCGGTATCAAGGATCAGGTGGCCATTATCTTCCAAAAACTTCTCCACATCTCCCCCTTTTTCTTTTTGCACAATCAGGACTTGGCTTGTCACCTTAGTGATGAATCGCTTGATACATGAAATGCTAATACCTATTATAAATATTGCAATCATAATGTAAAAGCAAAATCGAAACAATTCCTGCAACAAGCTACCTAACCAAAAAGGAAGATTCCATTTTCCAAAAAGAGTCTGAAGCCAACTATCAAATCTGGAGCGATGTTGCTGAATGTGCTGTATATTCTGTTTCATTAGGCTAAGTGCCTTGTGAATGGATTCGGAATTATCAGACAGATTCATACAACACATTCCATCAAAATCTTCACAACCATGTCCTTGTGCCAATAGTAAGAAATAAATTGCTGCTCTATTTTGTAGCACAGCATGTCTAACACTATCTACATCGGTTAGTAAAGCTGAAATGATCTCTGAGGTTAGATTAAATTGTTTTACACTCCAACAAGCCAATTTTTCTAAGTTAACTAAAGCATTTGCAGAAGCAATACCTGGTGCTAATGAAGAGGCAAAAAATAACTGATCTCTACTCATTAGCTCCACATTGTCCTTGCAGTCTTCAGTCAGGATTTTTAGAGATCGTGGTTTTCTTCTACCTTGTGTGAGATCATGCTGACTGGGTGCAAACAATGTAAGTTTCCCTATGTAACAAGGTCCTCCAAAGGCATATCCTGGGATGCCTCCCCAGACTCGATCTCCACAAATCAAAAAGTATCCTTTGGGCAACATTTTAGCACTACCATTATTCCATATTCCTTTCTCTGGTAATCGTGAACCTAAAAAGACAGAAGTCTCTATGCTTCCACAATAATTACTGAAGAGATGTAAACCAGGCCAGGGAGAAGAAACATCAGTAGCACAGGGTAAACAACTATATGTCAAGCCTGGCTGAAGTCTGTCCGGACTGATGTTTAAGGAGCATAAATGAGTATCAAAAGTTGCAAAGGAAAAGCATCCCCATGGCATTCCTCCTGTGCTTTTACTTTCATGAGCCATAAGGGATCCTTTTAGTTCTAATTCCTGTATTGGATTCAGGGCACTGATGTTGAGACTATTGATTATTCATCCTTGAAATAAAGGCCAAGACAGATCATGACATGTTTGTACGTGGTTATAGAGGGTCATGCAATTCCCTATGACATCATGAAAAATGTTCTGAGCCTGAGTAAAGTTGAGAATCATACCATCAAAATCCTTAAGGTCAAAATAGGGATATCCAATTAAATATGTTCTAAAAGGGTCAGTAGCAGAAGCAAGGCTCAAACAAAATGAATCTTGGCCAGTTTGATTTGCCCATGTAACCCACATATTTGTTCTGACATCAATTTTTGTCAAATCTGATATTATTAATGTTGACACATTTACTAAAATCCACATTAACGTTAACCACATCATGATAGCCTAACGGTGTTTTCTCCTTTTAGTTTTACGCTTCCATACAAATCTTTTCGCACAATTTGCTTTAGTTTTTTTCCATAATGAGTCAGAAACTGTCCAAATATAAGGCACTAATAAATCTCTAGCACATTCAGTGCTGATTAATTCGACATATAATGCCTGCTGTTGAAGCTGATCTATCAAGTCCAAATAAGTTGTAGCTAATTTTTCCACTCTATTTTCATGAGTAATGGACAATATATACAAAAGATCATGTGCAGTGTGAGGTGCTGCAGATTTACAGCGCTGACATCCTTGATGACAAAACTCAGATCTTACCCAAAATTTTTCCTCACAGGATTTACAATATACCAAAACCCATGGTTTGCACGTTTGGCAAACACAGCAAGTTATAGAGTTCATTTATATACCACTGCACAAGTCCATTTGTTGGAATCCTCAAAAAGTCACTGCTGTCTGTCTTACCACCCGTATTTCAGG